AAAACTTTTTATATGGAAGAAAAAGTAGATTTGAACATGTTATGTTTAAGAGAAGAACTTGTAGAAGGAATGCAACAAATTTATATCAAATTAGGAGAGATAGAAAATAGAGTAATGGAAAAACTACAGGTATTAAATAAACCATCACCAGATAAAGATGTTTCATATCAGAATAAAAGAAATGCTTACTTATCAAAATTAAATAATTTTGAAATATTAACACCAAAAAAAAGCACTCTTGAATACTATAAGATAAAAAAAGAAAACGACAAATATATTTAACAGTTTTACGGGATTTCCAGATTGGTTTTCCGGGATTTCCAGATTGGTTTTCCGGGATTTCCAGATTGGTTTTTTACCTCTTCAAAACACAAAAAAACACCTTTAAAAAATGTTCTAAAGAAATAAATATATAATATATGTATATATATTAATGGCTGAAAATAATAGTAAGAAAAAACTTGTTTGGAGTTCACAAGATGAAAGCAGGTATAATTCATTATACAACAAACTAAAAGAAAAAAACCCAGATATTACAAAAGAAAATTACATTAAAAACTTTAATAAAAGAAACTTACAACAATTTATTAGCAAACTTGAACTACCAACATCCACTAAAGAAAGTTATTATTTTATGGTTAGTAAATGGTTAAAAATCAACCATCCACAAAATGAAAGTGCAATAACAACTTTTTCTAATTTAGGACATAAATTAATGATGGAACGAAGCAAAGATTATGCTGAAAACACATTAAGCGAAAAAAAGCAAAAGAATTTTAGAGATTATTCTTATTTTGTAGATATACTAAATTCTATTAATTACAAAGAAATTAAAACATATAGAACACATTTACAATACCTATTATTAAGTTTACTAATCAAGCAACCACCATTAAGAACATCTGTATATACGAGTGCCCAATTTCACACCAAAGGCGGTTATAATAAACAAGAAAATCATATTATGTTATATACCGCGGGCAGGCAACGAGTTAGTTTTTATGTAGGTCGTGATAAAGTAAGTAATTCAAAGTTTTATAAAGAAGATATACAAAGAAACTTTGTTGACGTTGAAGACAGAGATTTAATTGATTTAATATATTATTCTTATGAGAATTACCCACGAACATATTTGTTTGAAAACAACGGTAAACCCATTCAAGACGAAACCCTTTTAAAATATTTGAGAGAAATAACAAAAGTTGAAGGCCTAGATATTGATACAATGCGGTCTGTTTATATAAGTCATTTTTACAATAAGTTTAATTTAACTTGGAAAGAAAAAGAAGCGATGGCTCAGAAAATGCGTCATAGCCCATCTGTGGCGCAACATAAATATCTAAGAGTCATAGAACGAACAGAAACTGATACAGCAAAAGATAAGCGGATAAAGCAGTTAGAAGATGAGGTAAAGCAACTCAACGAAAAACTAGCAACTCTGGAAAAAGAAAAAGACAAAGTTAAAGATGAACTAAACACCGTAAAAGATGAACAACCAAAAGACCCCAAATGGAGAAAACAACGTTATGATGTCATATATAAACTCAAAAAAAATTTACAAAGCAGTGTAAGGGAAAGCACATTAAATAAATTTAATATTAAATACAACGAAAAGACAAAGGAATACTATTAGTTTATATCTGAGAATATGCTTAAAGATTTGTTAATTATATAAATAATTATGACGAGTAGTGAGAGTAAAACCAAAGATTATAGTAATGGAAAAATATACGTAATCAAAAATTCATTAAATGACGAAAAATACATCGGTAGCACGATATGGGATTTAGAACGAAGGTTCAAACGTCATAAACTAGATATGAAATGTGATAGAACGCAAAACTATAAGTTTTACCAAGCAATGAAAGAACTCGGAACAGACTATTTTTACATTGAACTTGTTGAAAATTATCCTTGTGAAACAGTTAACGAGTTGAAGCAACGAGAGGGACATTATATAAAGCTGATGGGAACGCTGAATAGCAAAGTTTCTGGAAGGTCAAAGCAAGAGGCTAATTATGAATATACGCAAAAACACAAAGAATACTTTAAGCAAAAGGCGAAGGAAAGGTATGAAGCAAAAAAAGACATTATCAACGAGAGGAAAAAGATATACTACCAAAATAATAAAGAACATTTACAGCAAAAGAAAAGGGAGTATATGGAAAAACATAAGGAATATTTTAGACAAAAGGAAAAGGAAAGACGAGAAGCAAAGAAGGAAGAGCTAGCACAGAAACGAAAAGAATATTATGAAAGGACAAAAGAACAAAATAAAGATAAACTAAAAGCATACAGAGATGCCAATAAAGAGAAAATTAACGAACGCGCTAGACTATACAGAGAAGCGAAGAGAGAAGCAAGTAAACAACCAGTATAACCAAAATACAATTATAATATTTAGTTATATTATTATTGTATTAAAAATGTCTTAAAGAAATATTGACTTATTCAAGTATTGTAGAACAATGACAAAAACATATGAAGAAATCAGAGAATATATTGAACAGCAACTTAAAAGCGAATGGTTCTGCAAAAAAAACATGGAACTATACAAATTAAATTTACCATGCAATATTATAAATACAATAATAAAATACAATCATAACAAACCTACAGATGCTGAAGTGACAGTATGGAATAACAGGTTACGCTTAATGGATTGTCATGTTACTCAGAATAGATTTAACCGCCGAAATATTGAAGATGATATTATTTGTTTTCTTGTTGTTTATAAGTTACCAAGTTTTGAATATCTAAAAACAAAAAAGAAAATAAGTGAAAAACGATATGATGTTATGTATAATATTCATCATAGTTTGTTATATAACCATGAACAACAAGACATTAAAAAGTTCATAAGGGACTACATTATGATAAGAACAAAGTTAAGTATTGAAAGAACCATAAAGGATTTTAATGAAATATTGAAAATTACTTTTGAACAGCAACAACACAAGAACAGCAAGAAACACCTTAACTTTTGCCCTCAACTTGTTCTGTAAATGGAAATACCACCATAATATATTATTACATTATGATTGTATTATATACAGACATTATACACATACGTAAATATAGACCGTCATAATACAACTTATTTACCTTATCTATATAACAACATTTATATATAACTTGGTATATTACCTAGCATATAACCTAGCATATCATAACAACTAACTAAATACATATATATTATTATTATATTATTATTATATATATTATACTTATTTAAAATATATAATAAAACAGTTAACTATATTACAGGTATGACAGTATGCTGGTCAAAAACCAAGTTAAATTAAAAAAAAATTTTAAAAAATATTTTTTGAAAAATATTTTTTGTACTATATATCTAAGTTATGGTCTATAATGGCTAACCTAGCATATCATAACAGTTAGATAGATACGACTATACATATTATGACACCAGCCATCATTTTAACCTTATTTAAATACATTAACACATGAATTATTACATAAATTATTACAAAAATTGAAACAAAAATTATTACAATAATTATTACATAAATTATTACAAAAAATTATTACATAAACGTATAATACAGAGCCCCGCGAACGCTTTTGTATCAGTTTCAACATATTGTTTATAAAAGATATTTATGTAATTTGTTATAAAAATAATTACATAAATTATTAAATAAACTTGTGATGCGGGGCACGGCCCGAACGCTTTTGTAGAATAACTTATTTAAATTATTAAATAAAATATTAAATAAACTTGTGATGCGGAGCACGCCCGAACGCTTTTGTAAATATTTTATGTAATCTATTACATAAATTATTAAACAAACGTATAATGCGGAGCACGCCCGAACGCTTTTGTAAATATTTTATGTAATCTATTACTTAAATTATTAAATAAACTTGCATGGCGGGGTACGGCCCGAACGCTTTTGTAAAATTTATTAAATAAATTATTAAATAAATATTAAATAAATTATTAAATAAACTGGTGAGGAACAGCAAGCCAACCAGTGCCATAACCAAAAAGGTTTCGAGTTATAACCAAAATGGTTTCGAGTTATAACCAAAAAGGTTTCGAGTTATAACCAAAAAGGTTTCGTATAATACAGAGCCCCCCCCCCCGAACGCTTTTGTATCAGTTTCAACATATTGTTTATAAAAAGTTTTATGTAAGTTATTAAATAAATTATCAAATAGACTTGTGATGCGGGGCACGGCCCGAACGCTTTTGTAAAATTTATTAAATAAATTATTAAATAAATATTACATAAATTATTAAATAAACTGGTGAGGAACAGCAAGCCAACCAGTGCCATAACCAAAAAGGTTTCGAGTTATAACCAAAATGGTTTCGAGTTATAACCAAAAAGGTTTCGAGTTATAACCAAAAAGGTTTCGAGTTATAACCAAAAAGGTTTCGAGTTATAACCAAAAAGGTTTCGTATAATACAGAGCCCCCCCGAACGCTTTTGTATCAGTTTCAACATATTGTTTATAAAATATTTTTTGTAAATTATTACGTAAATTATTAAATAAACTTGTGATGCGGAGCACGGCCCGAACGCTTTTTTAGAATAATTTATGTAATCTATTACATAAATTATCAAATAGACTTGTGATGCGGGGCACGGCCCGAACGCTTTTGTAAAATATTTTATGTAAATTATTACATAAATTATTGTAAAAAATATTAAATAAAATTTTACGAAAATTGTTACGAAAAATATTACATAAACTTATGATGCGGAGCAGGGCGAGAGAAAAAATGAAGAAGAAGGCCAGAAAAAAAATGAAGAAGGCGACAAACTCTTTTTACTGATTTTTTTAATTATAGGTGTCTTACTTAGGAAAGGGCCGAAGGAAGAGGCCGTTGTACACAGCGGCTGGGGGCCAGCGTGTGCCGCTTTTGCCAGACAGCGCCACTTTGGACCAGCTGGCACAAGCAGCGGGAAAGGCCGCAGCCGAAGCCATTGCAGCGGCCACACCGACAGCCCCGGCAGCTGGCACGCCGAATGTTCCAGCAAATCCTGGCCCTGACGAAGCTGCCAGTGATCCCCCTTCAAGCCCTACCTCAACTACCTCCGAAGCTGACCAAAGGGGGTCAGGAAGGCAACAGCAACCACCAGAGCCGAGTGGACCACAACAGGGATCACGTGATCAACTTCAAGCGCAGGGGTCAGGAAGCCAACAGCAACCACGAGAGCCAAGCGGACCACAGCAGGGATCACAAGATCAACTTCAAGCACAGGGGTCCCATGAGATGGACGTGTCTGGCACAGGCGGGGTTCCCAGAGAAAGGCCGGAGGAAGGCACCGTTGCACCAAAGAGACCACGGCTACTTCTCGACAGACCACAGGTCACAACACCCAGCCCGGCTGCTTCTCCTGGTGGCTCCACTCTCTACCCGCCTGGGTTTGCAGGTGTCAACGAGGTCCACGGCGACATCCCCAATGAGGAGCTTGCGGGCCTTGCCGAGTGGGAAGCAGACCTTGAGACCGCCATGGAAGATGAGTGGTACAATGCGGAAGGTGACGGTGATGAACCATGGTGGGACGAGCATGGAGAGAAGCCGCCTGAAGTCACGGAGGAGGAACTACGAACCATAGACCGGCAAGCTGATCTCACCGAGCTGAACCGGTTGATCGAGATGGGTGTTGCCCGGTTTCCCACCGAGAACGAGGACCTCAGCGAGCACACCCTCCTGACAACCAAGCTGGTGAGGGACTGGCGGCGGCGCCCGGGCTGGATACGGCGGGCAAGGCTTGTGGCGAGGGAGTTTCGAACCCTTGCCGCCTGGAGCTCGGAGATGTTCGCGCCTGCTTCCACTTTGGGCACGGTGCACACCTTGATCAGCTACGCGATCACGAACAACCTCCAACTCACCACGCTAGATGTGAAAGATGCTTATCTCAATGTGGACCAACCGGGCAAAGCAATCATCCAGGTGGACGCCGGCTTGCTTGAGGAGGGAGCCGTTGGCTTCAAAACGCTGGTGCTCAACAAGTTGCTCCCCGGGCAACTGGTCGGGGCGAGCGCCTGGTTTGATTGCGCCAGCTCCATGCTCAGCGAGGCACGCCTGGAAAATTTCCCAAAGGAGCCGACCGTCTTCAAGACAACAGACAAAGGAGGCAAGAGTGCTATAATTCTCCATGCCGACGACGGGCTCCTTGCCTCCTCTGCCTCCGAGCGCGAGCGGATCGTGAAGGTTGTTAGCTCCAAGGTTGTGGTGCAGGTCGGGGAGCCGATGATCCACAAGGGCGACCACTTCGAGTTCTTGAAAAGACGCTATGTGAAGACCAAGGACGGGGTGGCTGTGTTTTCCAACGCAAAGTACTTGGAAGCTTTGATAAAAGCGGCCGGGCCAAACATCAAGAGCAGGGACTCCCCGGCCGATGCCAGCTTCCAGGAGGTCGACGCCACGAAGGAGCTCGACCCCACCAAGGCGAAGACCTACAAGGAGTGCGTGGGAAGGCTCCTCTACCTTTCCCACTCCCGGGCCGACATCCAGATGGCGGTCTGTGTTCTAGCCTCGCGCATGGCATGCCCAACGGTCGGTGCCTACAAGCAGCTTCTGCGTGTTATCGGGTACCTGACTTCTTGCCCGGACCTTGGCTTTATGATCAAGCCTGTGGTCTCCAAAGCAAAGCTGCATTGGGAAGGCGACCCGGAGGCCGACGAGATGATTTATGAAGTGGAAAGCGTCACGGACGCAGATTGGGCCGGCTGCCGCCGGAGCCGCCGCAGCAGGTCAGCGATTCAGCTTTACATCGGGGGTGGCTTCGTCTCGAGTATGGTCCGGTCCCAACGGTGCATAGCTTTAAGCTCGGCGGAGTCGGAGTACCTCGCGCTGGTGAGTGGGGCCTGCGAAGCATATTATATTGCTGATGTTCTGCGGTTCCTGGTTGGAGAAGGCAGCCAGGTTCGAATCACTTTGCGAACCGACTCTGCAGCGTGCAGAGGGATATGCCAAAGACTTGGCGTTCGGCGTGTGAGGCACTTGCAGTGTGCCATCTTGTGGGTGCAGCAGGCGGTGCGCAACAAGCAGCTGAGCGTGGCAAGCATCAGCGGAAGTGAGAATCCCTTTGATATAGGGACCAAGCCCCTGCCTGGCGCCCGAATCAAAGAGCTGCTCTACACCATGGGTTGCATCGAGAGCGACGGGACGCCCTACGGCCAGGAGGAGCACGAGGCAGCGCACGAGAAGCGAATGATGACAAAGATGCTGAAAGATGCAAAGAGCAGCGGCTTCAAGGTGAGCCAAGTGAAAGGCATTTTGCCTTTGATCCTCCTGCTGTCGCAGGTGGGAAGAACTCAGGGCTTGAGCCTAGCCCTGCCGGTTGTCGCATTTGGCGATGCCGACTGGGTTGCGACATTCGTTGTCACGATTGGCTTCGGGATGTTCTTGATCATGGTGCTCTATGGGATTCCCTTGGGCCTGCTGAAGTTGCTTAAGTGGGGCTTCAGCCTTTTCCCGGCCAGTGATGGGGAGACCGGCGGCCCTGAGCGAAAGGTGCCGCGAGATTGAGCGGTTCGAAGAGACGGTACAGGAACTGAGGGCCGAGAACTACCGGCTGAGGGCCCAGCTCGAGCGTGTACAGGCGGTTCCACAGGGAATTCCAAGAGAGATCGCTGTAACAACAAGTAGGGGAGAGAGGTTTCATCTGCCGACGTGTGGAAATGTTAGGCGAACGGCTTTTAGAACTTACACACCTTGCATGGCGTGTTTCGGAAACGGCGGATGATTTTTGCCTCTCTTGAGAAAGAAGTTTTACGACCAAGCTGCCTGTAAGAGCAGCGTTGGCCGAGGCGGGGTGCAACAGTTGTGACCCTGCCCTTTGTACACTGACAGCACATAACGCAGCCCTGAAATCATCAAGGGAAAAGATTTGCACTAGTGAAGTGCACCGTTTTCCTTGCAGAAGGGAACGGCGCTCTGACGTATCGGAACGGGAAGCCGGGCCTGATCAGCCTGGTGTACCTGCAGGAAAAGGCAGCCCAAAGAACCCTCGGCAGCTGTTATTGTGACATTCGGCCTACCAGTATGCTTGCAGATTTACATTCAGCGACTAATTCAGCCGCGAATGTCTTGCCTGCATGCATGCACGGCAGCAATCTGCACATGCGGGGTATCAGCCTGAGTGAATTGTTTGCCACGTTCTTTTCCAAGCACAGACATAGCTTTCAGCCAGTGCATGGGCACATGCAACATTCAGACGAGTAAGAGAGTGAATGCGAGTTCGATAGCGGAGCCGACTGACGGTTCAGCAGCGCCATTGGCTGCCGGAGGACGCGACTCCTGGCGTTGCATTTCTGCGACGCCTCCCTCGAGAACTTTTCTTGAACAGTCGTTCTTGGACGACGGGCATCCTTGTGCCCAGCACCCACACGACCCTCAAGGAGCTGAGTGGCATCCAGGGAAAGTTGAGCAAGGTTCACCCGGCTCAGAGATCAATTCGAGCACGCGGCCGGCCCTCCTCACGGATTGCCCGGTTCCTGATCTCTTCTACTACCAGAACAGCAGCGAGCCGCAAGGGAAACGCGTGAGTTGCTTCGGGCAGAGCAGACCGCTTTCAGCCGAAGAGTATCGGCTTTTCTCCAAGGTCGGTGGCTTCTTGGGGACCGCTTACGACCTCTTTTCTTCCTTCTTCGACCTCCTCGCCTCCTCGCGGCGCACGACACCTTCCGGAACCTCCTCGCCGGGCACGACTTTGACCACTACGACCAGGAGCTGGACCAGAGCTTCTCCAACTACACGCTTCAGCAGTACCTGTTCGCTGGAGCAATTGCTTCGGCGAGCACCGGTCCTGGCGGAGGCGGAGGATTTCCGCTTCATGAATTCAGAAAAAACGTACCTCCGGGCTGGAGCCCCGGTTTGCCTGACTACCCTCTGCGTCTGTATTTTGATCGCCTCAAGCTCTGGTACCAAATATTCGACGGTGAGGATACCCTCACATTGCGACTTCCGCGACCTGATGGCGGAGTGGGCATGGACGGAGAAGCCCTTGCGAGGCTGACCGGGCTGACCGTCGAAGAGGTCAGAGATTTTTCGGACCCTTCAATCATCATCCAGCGGTGCGGCCGTCAGGCGTGCAGGCTTCGTGCAACGCCCCAAGACGCATTTGGCGAATACAAAAGAGGGAAGACAAGCTTCCAGGAGTACGCGATTGAGTGGGGTTGCAAGCTTGAAGAGGCCACGACACGGGCACGACTTCAGATAAACGAGGTGGCAAAGTTCTATTTGTTCTTCCACAACTCCAGGCTCCTTGCAAAGTTTGTCGAGGACATAAGTTGCAGTTGCAGGAGGATTTGCGTCGGTTTCAGGAGACCAGGTCCTTCGCCTTGAGACTGGTGAGTCGCAAGGATGACATCGGCACCGGCGACGGCAGCTTCTATGAGCGCGACTAGGCGGATGATCTCTGCGAGTTGTATGCCGATGACTACGAAGATGAAGATGAGTGGGAGCAACCTTGGGAGTCATGGTACGAAGACGGTCGGCTCGTCGTGGACTACGAGAGCTGTGCTGCTGACTATGAGGAGGAGTGGCCCTACTACCATGGCATGACTGAGGAAGCCGCTCCCGAGCAGACGCCCAACCAGCAAGACGAGAACTCCGGGTACCATGGCGAAGAGCATTCCCCGGGTCATTCATCAGACCATACAGCAGGAGCTTTCCGGCCCAACCTGTCCCGTCGGAGCCGATGGCGGCGGCAAGAACAGCAAGGGCTACCCTTCGAAAGGCAAGGGCACGTCCTATAGCGGTGGCTACGGCTCCGGTGGCTGCGGCAAGAAGGGCAAAGGTCGATGAAAGAAAGGAAAGGGCAGATGGACGCCAAAAGGCAAAGGCTACGGCTCCGTGGCTACTGAAGCTACATCGCGAAAATCCTACACACCGAAATTGGCCGACCTCCAGTCCATTCTCCGTGAAGCCGCCGCCGGCGTTCTCCCATGACAAGACGCTGGTCGACTGGGGCCTGTCGGTCGCCCTCGCCTCGAAGCTGACCGAGGCGAATCAACAAAAGCTCCTCGCTTCATTTAAACCGGCAGCGTTGGCATCAGCTCCGGTTGCTGCCACATCCTGATCCGTGCCCCTTTCTACTGGATTCCATGTTCTCACCGTGTAGTCGGTGGATGTTTTGAGCGATCGGGCATCTCGTTCTGCTGAACACCACGTGCTTTTTCGCCGTTGCTCGCACATGTGTGGTGCTGGAGCATTGGGTTTAGTCTTTGGGTTTATAGGATCGCCGCATCCGTTTTTCCTTTTCTAGTGGCTCCTATCGCAACACCTCATGCCGATCAGCCTCGCCACTCTTCCGTGTGGCTTCGTCCATCAATTCCTGAGCTTTCACCATTACCTCTATGCCTACACCGTGTCAGTTGCGCGCCCTTACATGGATGGCACACTGGGTCCCACCTCGGATCCCCCTACCCGACAACCTACAGTTCATCCTGATGATGTCATGATCCGTGACCGCATGGCTGAACTCATCTTCAGGCATAGCAATCTGTTCTACGGCTTTGTACGGATCGGGGACAACCATTACCATGGGTTGTTCGTCCTTACGTTTGACTTCTGCACCATCGCGGCACTCTCTGCCAATCGTCACCTGAATGACACCCTGGCCATCTACCTCCTTGCCCGATCGATGACTACGGTCGCGGTGTTGCAGGCGTACAGCTCTGGACCTTCTCGTCTGCTTCGACGTCGTCTTCTTCTTGGGTCTGAATTCCAGAGCATTGTGCCTTTCTCCTCCCTGACCTATCACCTGGGCATCCCGTCCTACTTGACCGAGTTTCTCGCTACTGAAGTGCCCCGGAGTCACCTGTCCCGACTACGGCTTCATGCCTTCGGCACTGGTCTGCAGAGCAGGCATCTGCAGGACACTAGCTGGAGCGGATGAGAGCGTCGCATAAAGCACCTTGCGGACATTCTGTGCGTGTATGACACCAGCTCTTCCGCAGCCATTTGCCTTCAATGCCTTGGTCTACCGCGTCCTCCCGTTGCAGTCTCCATGTCGAATTTTGTCCCCGAGACGCTGCTGGACCTCCCCACATCCGCGGAGTACAGAGAATGGGTCACCGCCGCGCAGGAGTCACGTCGCCTTCGAGCCGAATTAATTATCATCGTCGAGCGCAGCCGCGGCCTCATCGGTTTCGAATGCCAACTCGTGCACCTTCACAGAGGTTCCCATCAACCTTTGGTTGTCCACGTTTTTGCTACTCCGCGGGTGGCTGGTACCTTTCTCATCGGCTACACCGCGGCCCCATGTGTACTGCCTCATGACTGAGATCATGGCCGAAGCGGCCAACATGTTCCACGAGGTGGTGCACGTGGCCGACAATTCGTATCATGGCCTCTTTGCGCTAATTTTGGACCTGGAAGTGACAGTACAGCTCCTACAAGTGAGTCGCGCCATGAATCGCGAGCTCATGCACTTCCTGAACGGCAGGAACATCACACATTTCATCACCCGTGACCTGCGCAAACCACGTCCTCATCAGTTACTACAAGGAGAACCTTGCCCTCGCATGCGCGGCCCATTTCTACCTCCTCGTTCACTTCCCCTTGGATCTGCCTTCGTGGACGTGGTGAGATTCTCGGACGCTATCCTCACCTTGATGGTGCCACATGAACTTCGGACCTGGGAAGCCAGGGAACTTCTCCAGACACAGATTCGTTGTTTGCGCACCCGCTCCTATTTGGAACTGGGTCACCGATATACCCACGGCTTCTACTCGCTCACACCGTGAACCGGACCTTCAGGCGTTTTATGGAAAACAGATGTGATAACCGATATGCTCCTGCCCTGCATGCTGGCGAACCTAGGCCTTTCTGTTCCGCAGCCATTTCAAGACAGGGTTACCGTCATGCAGCTGAACGGTCCCAGCTACGAGGATGTCCGGGCATCCTATGCTCGACCTACCCGGGTCAGCGGACGGCTACGTTATCGGGGTCAAACTGCGCAGGCCAAGCCGCATCCCTTTGGCCCTCGAGGTGGGCAGACTGGACTCGCCCTTCCTCTACCACGTCGCACTCTGACTCTTACTCCGCGACCGGCACGATCCCGATCTCGATCCAAATCTCCTCGCGGCCCTTACCCTGATGATTCCCCACCTGGTCATGGATTACACACCACCAACACGGAAGAGTTGCAGACGCAGGACACCCTGGACGCCACCACCGACGACCTCTATGATCCCTACGACTTTACGTCCGTCGACCACACCTTTCCCCCAGCACCGGGAGCCGCTGGTCGACGTGGTCCAGCTATCACCTTTCACACCTGTCGTCGACTACCTCGACCTGGTTCCGCACGAGATTTACTCACTCGCATGCTCGAACTTGAAAGCCTGGACATGAACGTCTTCCATTACCCGGTGGCTACTCACGGTACTGCAGTCATGTTCTACTCCCTCAACCCACTGGGAGCTTCCAATGCGGTACAAAGACTCAACGACTTGTTGTTCCTGGAACAGTCTCAAGCCGACCTTGACCGGATCGACGAGAACCAGGAGGAGCAGGAGCAGTTGGACATAGCACTTTCGCGTTGAGCGCGTTGAGGTTCTCGACGCTATTCGCAGGAAAACAATTCCCCTTGTGCCGTCTCTCTCGTCTCTCTCGTCTCTCTCTCGTCTCTCTCTCTCGTCTCTCTCTCTCATCTCTCTCTCTCGTCTCTCTCTCGTCTCTCTCTCGTCTCTCTCTCTCTCTCTCTCTCTCTCTCTCTCGTCTCTTTCTCGTCTTTTTCTCGTCTCTCTCTCGTCTCTGTCTCGTCTCTCTGTCGTCACTCTGTCGTCTCTCTGTCTCGTCTCTCTCTCGTCTCTCTCTCTCTCTCTCTCTCTCTCTCTCTCTCTCTCTCTCTCTCTCTCTCTCTCTCTCTCTCTCTCTCTCTCTCTCTCTCTCTCTCTCTCTCTCTCTCTCTCTCTCTCTCTCTCTCTCTCTCTCTCTCTCTCTCTCTCTCTCTCTCTCTCGCCTTCTTCTGCTCCACTCTGTTTGCTTGCCCTGCATTGTGTTCCGCAGCCATTTTCAGCCACATACATGACTATTCCTCTACCTCTTGCATCTTTCGCACAAGTTGCCTCCTACTTGCAGTACATCGATGTGACATTGGAGCTGCGATTCTACGGACTAGACTTCCGGTACTACGTGTACGCTTTCATCTACTCCCCTCCCCTGATGCGCAGCAGCGACCGCGCACCTTTGAAAGACTCCCCGCTTGGTCCGGTTATGTTGCACTCCTTATGTTGCGTTGCCTCAGTCTGCAGCCGTTTTCAACCTCGGCGACCCATCATGGCCCGGGAGCGCTCCCGATCCAGGACCCCACGCAGGAGCTCTCCTTCGCTTCACAACAGCGGGACAAGACCACCATCTCGAGGTGTACGACAATTTCAGACAGTGCCGCTGATCCGAGCACTACATCAAGGTCATCTACACCCCTCGTTTCGCCGGTTCGCCAATGGCATGCCGGTCTTTCCACGCGGCTTCGAATCCACGGACACCCTGCTGTGCGTCAACGAGGTGATGCGACAAGTCACAACCCGCCCGGCGACTACCTGGCCAACTCCTACAGCTACTTCAGCCACAGGAGGAACAGGTTGTACAACAATTACGACGAGCCCTTTTCTCCAGCCGAAGCTCCCCAACCGCCTACACTGCAGCCAACATCCAGGAACTTACCTCCGCGACTGATCCAACGGCCGCACAGCCCGGACACACCGAGACGTACCGGGATCCGGGAAAGCCAACCCATCTGTGGCTCTATGCGAGGGCCACCGCCACCCCTGGATGCTGTACCTACCGTCTTCCCAGATCCCACCCGAAGGCCGGCCTCCCTCAGGCTCCACTACACATACCGTTCAACTCCCCCAGGTCACCGGTCATTGGCCCATTCATCGCCGACGAGCTCTTCGTCTCCGTCTTCGATTACTACACCTGTGGGCTGGGCCAAGGATTCGGACGTCGACATCGCTGCACTTGCCGGGACAATCCGCAAGCACCTACCGTCAACCAGCGACCTTCGCCTTCGAGATTGGCTAGCGGACCGATATGGACTACATCACGTGCAGACCAGCCATATCCTACAGACTCCTTCACTTCGGCTTCTTTTCTGTTGTGAAGTTTTCAGCTTGACCAGTTGTTCGATGAAAACATAGGTGAAGACGATGACGAGGAGCACAACACGCCTCAGCCCCCTCAGCCACATCGTCGCCTACCCTCTCATCCGCATCGACTTCTCACCCACTTCCTTGACTTCTACATTGCAGTTCTCCCCGTCGTTCGAGAAGTTCTACCACATCACGTCTTCGGCCGGCTCTCGTGGGTGCGAGCCTTATGGTTCTTACATCTACATCGGTTACGGCCCCACGCACCGCCAACAGCTGGGGCCTGATGGACATCTTTCACGCGTCGGACATTCAGACTTACACCCTCCGGCATCATCTCCAACCAGGAGTGGCTTACATCAAGGTCTCACACAAGCATTCAGGATGGTACATTGGTTCCACGATTCACACTGTCATGGAGCGGGAAGTCAGCCGCCGATCGAAATACAATCAACTTCGTGCTGGCACCCAAGCATTTTTCGAGCCGGCACTCCGCATTTTGGCAGGCTGCCGGGACGTTCGACCACTATCTCCCGATTACATTACAACATCGACCCACGGAGGCCCAAGTCCGTGCCCTGGAGCAGGCACTCATTGCCACATACCATCCACATTTGAATGCACCGTTTGTTTACACTTTCCTTCGAAAACTGGCCGTGCAGATCGAGGTCCCAATCGGTGTCGCCTTCGTTGAGGGCAGCAATGGAGCACGACTTCTGCGCGCACATCACCGCTACACACACTATCGGGATCTGCCAGACTTGCTTGGAAACCGTTCCTTAATCGAGGAACGGGAGACCTTGGCCAACATCATCCAGTACGTCGGCAGCAATGGCATTTCCAAATTCTTTGCACAGCGAGTGCTACGTCGACACAGCACCCCTAATTCTTATCTGTACCTACTTGTTCGATTCCTGGTCTTGGTCGATGAGCGTCACCAGAGTCGCGCGCTACAAGCTTTACGATTGGCACTCAGGTACAAAGGCGGAGAGATCCCACCACGTCATCGGATGCTCCCATTACCTCAGCTAGCACACGATTTCCTGTCTCATGCGCAACGGTGGTTGGATGATTATGTACTACATCATCGTGAATGGTTTCCACCTCACCACCTCCCCAAATACACAGTATCGGAAATGAAGGCCCTCCAATTGGGCCAGACACTTTTCAACCACCACGCCTGGCTGCGACAATGGGGCCCAAGTGCTGCTGTCAACAACTCCCGGGGGAGCGAACTCCGTCGGATCACGTTGGAGCCCCGGCCGATATTGTCCTCAACGAACCCACATTCCGGGAGAACATGGGAGACAGCAGGTGGCTGACGAAATCTCAGTTTAGACGGTACACCGTCGCACCCCTGACTCGTTGGTTCAAGCTCTGGCGACAACCTGACGAGTCACTACTACGTTGGCAGGTGTTCGTTTCTCATCATTGGCGATTACATGGTCAAGCTCTACGTGCACATCCAGACGGCAGGCAACGGGAACTCAAGAATCTACGCGAACAATCAGATCACATTGTAATCTCTCCAATTGATCATGGTCCACACCTTGCATATGGTTTCTGTCCTCGTCAGTACTTCGACATCTTGGCCAAGACATTCTTGGACCCGGCCGTCTTTTGGCGACGTGACACCACACCGATGCAACTGGCAGAACACACTCAGCGAGCTTTTAAGCGTCATGTTCCGCCACGATATCACTGGGCACTCGCTCCTCGAGAACCTCTTCCCTATGCTTATGTGCTGCCCAAGCCTTCTAAGAAGTTCTTGAAGGGCCGCCCCATTGTTAGCTACTCCAAGACATGGTGTGCCCAACTCGCGACATTCCTTTCTACTGCAGTGCTGCAGATGCTACAGACTGTCATTCCGGCAAAGTTTTGAATCGCCTACAGTCCACTCCATCATTCACGCCTTCATCCACGCCTTCCGCAACAACCCGGTCACCATTGAACTTCAGATGCTACAGCAGGATCTGTCAGGCTTCTTTACTTCAGTTCCACACGACCGCATCTACCATGCGATCTCTTCTTTGACCGACATGTTTGCTCGACATCAAAACATTTCCCTGGATTCCGATGTGCAGATTACCATGCGGGACCGCAACTCATTGGGCCGCCTTTTCCGTGGTCGGTATCGAAAAGCCGGCTCTCACTACAAGCCGTTGTGCTTACGCGACCTACCGTACTTGGTCATGTTCTTACTCCGCCACTCGTTTTTCATGGTCGGTACAGAAATCCTGGTACAGCATCGCGGAGCGTCCATGGGCTCGCCCATGGCCCCCTCCATGTGCGGGGCGACGGCGGCGCTGTGGGAAGCCACGTTCCACAGACTCATTCAGGACCAATTATTGACACGGTACTTCTGTTCGTCCCGTTACGTTGACAACCGCTGTTTACTCCGCATATGGGACGGAGAACTGGAATCGACGGCCAACACCCACCAACTCGGCGCACGACGACATCACGATCCACTTCTTTCCTCTTCATCGTCGTCCACCAGCTGGTTTCAGGATGTGTATTTGCACCCGCATTTTTACGGCCTTCCCCTGGAATTGGAACACGTTCCCGGGATGGAACTGCTGGGCACGATTGTGGACACGGAGCAACGCCGCATCCGGCTGGTGCTGCCTCGGAATCATCTCCCTTCGATCTCCGTGCTCAGTATCCTCGACACGCAGGAACACTCAAGGTCTTACTACCAGAATCTACTTGGTTTGCCGGCTTTCATGGCCTAAGGATACGCTGGTTCCTCAAGTACGACAACTGATTCAACTTTACCGTGAACGGGGCTTTTCAGAACGTTCGTTGGAGGATGCTGCACGTTCGGTTCTTCGCCGGTTTGGACTGCGATGGCGGCAGGTGAACCCCGCCCCCTGAAAATAAAAGTTGTGCTTTTTGGGTCTAGGGTACGTTGAGGTCCTTTTCGCCGCAGGTTTTAGGTCAAGCAGGATCAAACTGATCATGACTGGAGCCTCTTCGGATTCTTTCCTTCTTGATGACACAACATGGCGCTCCTGTTCCTGTTCCAGTTCAGACCACGGTGCGTTGGACGATGAGAAGATGAACCAATCTGACGACTCCGACCTCGAGCAACTGACTATGCCCTTCACACCACTTCATTCTCTACCGCTTCCACATACGCCATCTCCAAGCCGGGCTACCATTTCCCTTTCCCCTAGGAAGCACCAGTCTCGAGACCGAACACAGCAAAGTCCGCTCAAACGTCGCCGCCGCCAACGTCATCGGCCCTCTTCTTCGTCATCTTCACGCTCTACTTCCTCTACGACATCTTCTTCGTCGTCGACTTCGACATCACCTTCATCGTCGACTACACCACCAACTGTCACACCTGCCACCGCGGACCGTTCGACCAAACCTCCTGCACCATTCCGGCAGAAGAACCGAGTACAGACGTTACAACCTCCGTCACGTCCAACACCGACAAGTTCATCTTCATCCACTTTTTCTACTTCTTCTACCTCTTTGCATCCTCCGTCCTCTCGCCGGCTGTCTGCACCTTCCCAAGGCGCCACGACTCAATCACGCCCGGGAAGCCGTCACGATACCCGACCCTCTGCCTTCGGATACCTCCACGGGGACAAGGATTCACATTACATCAAGTTAGCAAGACGAAGTCACGACCCCTACGCACTACGGTGTCCTTTCATGGAGACTCAACTGAACGTCGACGACAAGCATGGCTTCGAGAATGGCGTCGTTGCTCGCCAGCATCTCCTTACTACCAGGATGTTCAGAACTGCATTCGTCATCGAGCTCGCATCATGCTGGACATTGTCACGCATCAGAGGGGCGGCCCTATCGCCATTGCACAAAACTTTCGCATCCGGCGCCGACATAACTTACCCGAAGACCAACTGATCCCTTTGGCGCTAATCTTCCGGGAGACGGCACATCGTCGAGGACAAACCATTCAGGAACGTCTCCCTCTGTGACGACCCGATACCTGATCCTGCCGAGACCACAAAACATGACCGTGCCTCACTCCTCCGCGCAGTGCGTTCGCTTTTCGTTGCCGCAGCCATTTCTTTGCTCACGTCGCCTCTGCAACCATGGCCACGTTCGTCGATGTTCTCCCAACGATCCTCTCCTGCTTTGAGATGCACACCATCATACAACTCGATCCTCGCCATTGCCAACGTCCTCAAACGGATGGCCATCAGACTACGCGCTCGGCCTTCGATCTTCTTGCACTCCATCGGCGGGACTGCGCATGGCATCAATAGGGAGTTCGGCAACAGTTTCTTGCAGCATTGCAGGACTGCAAGATGAGCGCTCGCAGCTTCTTTGGTTTCCATCACGACAACACCGTGTTCACCATTTTCCACTACCAGCCCTCTGTCATTGTTAATTTAATTGTAGCCAACTGTGTTGGCGCGCACAGATACAATTACGTCCTGCCGCACGCCTATCCCTGCGGGTTCGCATCAGCAACGCACGACTTGCACAATGGCGACCCACACCATCGGGACCGTGGATCACTACCTGCTGGTGCTCGGCACACTGCTTGACCTTTTCCAAATGGACACTGACCCTTTCCCCAATCTTGCCTCGCCCTCCTTCCCTCGACAACAACCCGTACTGGCTTCAAGAGCAACAACGACGCGGCGGACAGCCAGTTGTGAGGCGATAAGGACACTCGCACATCGTGACTGACGCCACTGTGACGCAAACAATAAAGAACCTTGTCGCTTCATCCGGTTCGTACGCTTCTTGACCTTCCGCAGCCGTTTCTGAGTTCACATTCCTTTTCCTCCGAACACCTCCGCATCTGTCCTTATCTTTCTACGCCTGCACGACGGGGAGCTTGATTGGTGGCTGTGCTACTTCGTGGACATCCGGTTTTGGCAAGTGATTCAGATGACAACGCTTCCGGCCCTGAGAATGCCGAGCATCCTCATCAATCAGCAGTCTGTGACGTCACAACAGCGCTTCACCACGTCGCAGAACCGGTTCTACCTGGACACCCTTCATGGACTTCGTCAACCCAATCCGTCCTTTCAGCGGCTGGATTACTACGACCCTTCCATCCGCGAGTACCAGTACAGCCTTTTCATGACGGCACCACCTCCCTACGTTCTTCAACGACTACTGCTTACGAGCCGTCGACTACATCACGCACTACGTCAACTGATCCTTTATTCGCGATGGCAACCATGCCTCAGCCCCTTATCACCATCCGCATACGCCCAACATGTGGATCGACGACACTATCAACGGGAAGAGCTCCCACCACGTCTGCAACAGGTACTACAACATCACGCCCTACATCGCTGCCAAATCCTCCAAGTTCACCCAGCAGCCTTACCTGCACTACATGCACAGCGATTTTCTTTGCTGCAGGATGCAGCAATCTTCACCCCGCTTCGGCGGTGTGTGTGTGTGTGTCCAAGGGCATTCACCTCACGTTCTGCACTGATTTATGTTTAATCGACATGCAGCATTTGACATGTCAAAAGTCTCTGATGTGTGGTCGCTTGAGACCTGGGCATCAGTTGGTTCGTCGCATAAAGAAACCTCACCTGACATTCCGCGTGTGTGTGTGTGTCCAAGGGCATTCACCTCACGTTCTGCACTGATTTATGTTTAATCGACATGCAGCATCTGACATGTCAAAAGTCTCTGATGTGTGGTCGCTTGAGACCTGGGCATCAGTTGGTTCGTCGCATAAAGAAACCTCACCTGACATTCCGCGTGTGTGTGTGTGTGTGTGCGATTGTGTCTCAGAATGATTCTTTGCAGTTTGGGCTGCTCGAGGACGAAAGCACAAAGATGAACAAGATCCGGGTCAGCTGGACGGACGGCAGCCCCGATGTGGCTGGCTGCCCTGCCGACTGTAGCAGCGGCACCAGCTCCTGTGTCTGCCCGGTCTCTGTGGAGTTTCAGGCGGTCTTCGCTGCTTGGCATGTTCTCACGACCTATCTGCGGTTTCCAGAACCCTGAAATGTGCTTCCTTGCATTTATAAGGACCGTATTCCGAGCACCCAAGAGCTGGTGCAGCTGAAAGTCGGGGCTTTCGCTCCTTCCAGCGCCTGTGCAAGCTGTGGTGACGTGAAAGCATATCATGCAGGGGTCATAGACAAGGAGACGATCTTCGAATATCAAGGCAGATACTACAAGAACGTCGTGAGCCTCGTGCATGTGGCGGGCAAGAGCTTCCGAAACCCCCCACTGTTCGGATTCACTGAGACCCCGAGCTCACGGTCGGCAATGTGGGAGGTCGAAAGCCTGCTTGAGCACTTGGTGACTCACCCAAACACCGCTCCCTTCGTGTCAGTGCGCCTTATCCAGCGCCTTGTGAGCTCGAATCCAAGCAGCGAGTACATCCGAGACGTGAGCGAAGCCTTTCGGACGGGCCGCTATGGAGACCAGGTCTTTTCGGGCCGACACGGGGATTTGGCAGCAGCCGTGGCAGCGGCTCCTCGCACGCACTTAGCACTTAGGACTTTCGCTATGTCTACGCCGCTTCGCCTCCTCGCAGGTGCTCCTCCATCCCGAGGCCAGCTCCTCCAGTCAGAGCCGAGGGACCTTGCGGGAGCCTTGCCTAGTCACCTCTCTATGGGCAGTTCTCCTGAGACACGTTGCGTTCACAGCTCAGGAGCCCCTGGTGAAGCTGGTGCACTTCCTGCGGGCCACAGAGTTCGTGGATGCCGACAGACGTGAGCTGATCTTCAAGGAGCTGCAGGATCTCATCGGTCAGGCGCCCCGCGCCAAAAAATACCAAGCCAGTAGAGTAGAATAGAAGGGAATTTCAGAAACCCCGTGGGATGCGACACCACAGGCACCGTTCATGTCGCCCTCGGTCTTCAACTTCTACCGCCCGGATTTTCAGCCGAGTGGCCTACCTGACGGGCTTGTGGCGCCCGAGGCGCAGATATTTGAGGGAGCCAATGTGGTGAACTTCATGAATGGCATGCTCTCCATGATCAAGCACGGCGGTCTGAGCGACTGTGACGGGGGTCTGGGTCTTGCGACGGAGACCTGCGGCCAAGGCCAGAGCTTCACCAAAGCTTGGGGCTCTCAAAGTGAGGCCTTAGAGGAGCTGAATCTGCTGCTGACTGGGGGCCGTCTTACGAACAAGTCTCAGCAGATCGCCCAAGCAGCTTACGAGAAGGAAGGAATCCAGGCCGCGCAGGAGGCCATCGTCTTGGCACCGGAATTCAATGCTTTGGGCGACCCGAGGCCAGAGGGATCCCAGCGAGACGATGCTACCGAGGGTGCCCCAACCACAACACGGGCTCCGGCATCCTACAAGGCCTTGATCAACTTGTACCTCGGTGGAGGGGCAGACACCTTCAATCTCGTAGTGCCTATCGACTGCGATCTTCATGCAGAGTACCAGGCTGTCAGAAAGACAGCCGCTATGCCAAGCGCAAACTTATTGGAGGTCAGCACCGTGGGACAAAGCTGCAGCAAGTTCGGCGTTCACCGGAAACTTCCCGTGCTGCATTCTTTGTACCAGGACCGGCGAAGCCTGTTTAGTGAGCCGGATGTTTTGCTCAGAGCCCTAGACTTGCTCTTGCACCATGATCCTTTGGCATGCCGGTGCTGCTGGTGCTGCTTGTTCTTTTTGTACATAAGTGTAACTGTGTAACCACCCGTCGGTTCAGGAAGGGCGTGCTGCCTTCGTGAGCAACATCGGTTCGCTGGTCGAGCCGATGGACAAGAACGACTACTTCAAGGCAGGGGGACCGAACTAGGAAGGCGGAAGGAGCCTTCTGAAGCCGACAGTTCCCAGGGCTCGAAGACCACCTGCGCCGGGCTCTTCTCTCACTCGGACCAATCGGAGGCAGCTCAGACGCTGAAGTGCCAGGCAGGACTGTCTGCAGAGCTCAGAGCACGGCACGGGAGAGCACGGGCTCTCTGGAGGTTCGAGGCAGTGGCCCCAAGGGCGTCGGCGGCCGCATGGCCGACTCCCTGAGTCAGACGCAGAACCTCCGCACCATGAGCTTCTCCTTGAACGGCCGCCAGACATGGGCCCAGGGGAGCTACACCAGCCAAGTTGGGGTGCCCGTCACTGGGGAAGTGCCCACGACGCTCGGATGTGTTGTCAGCACTTGTCAGCTCTGTGCAGCCGTGCCACCGGCTCGTGCCACCGTGTGATTCAGGCTCCTGAACTATACGGGAAAGCGACAACTCCTGGACGACCTCACGCGGCAGAAGCTCGGGAACGTCTACTGCGAAGAGTATGCCAAGAGCGCAGGGGCTCTCGTCGTTGCCTGGCGCAAGTCGGCCTAGGGCCTAGGCGGCCTGCATTGGCGTGGCCCTTCTGGTCCTTCTAATTCTAAGGACTCTAACCAGGCGCTTTTCGAGCAGCTTGCAAACGTCAGTCTGATGACCTCGTCGTGGGATGCCATCCCAAGTGGCAGCGAGGGGAAGCTCATGAAGACCATGCAAGCCGTAGCCAAGCTCATCGTCACACGAACCGTGCCTCGGGCCTTGTCGTTGAGAGGCTTGAAGAACGTGACCTGGCCGAGATCCGAGGAGCGCCAGGTGGAACGGGACTTCTTCTACGTGGAGTTGGGAGGCTTCGACACCCACAACGAAATCCATGAGGCCTTGCCCCAGGAGCACCGGAGCTCGTCAGCTTCAGCTGCATGTTTCCGCAGGTTATGGACGAGAATTTCGACTACGTTAATATTGCCTTGGAGGCAAGTCATAGACCCACTGCATGCTTTGCATTGCCGAAGTTGTGCCTAGCATCGTGCGAGGCCTTTGTAGCGGAGCTCAAGGCCCAAGGCATCTTTGACGCCGTGACCATGGTTTCTTCGTCTGACTTCGGGCGTACTCTGACCTCCAACGGCAAGGCCCTAGAAGAGCTAGCAAGCAGAACATCTGTCCAGTTTCAGTCTTCCGTCTCATGCCAAGGCCCAGCCTTTCATCCTTTCCGAATGTGAGCTCTGGTCAGTCCTTTTGCTTTTTCCGACTCGGAGCGTTGAATTGTTCTTGAAGTCCGTGGTCTGGCGGAGAGTTCCGAGTGCACAGAGAAGCAGAGGGAAGGTGTCTGACTTCTTCGCAGGGAACCGACCACGGATGGGCTGGAAACCACTTCGTCCTGGGAGGCTTCTCTGTGACAGTGAGTTCCATGCTTGGGGCTTCTCACAGTAGCGGCTAGTGATTCTTGTTTGGAGGTGCCGTGCGTGGCGGCAAAGTTTTGAATGACTATCCTGAGAGCCTCTTAGAGGGCAACAACCAGGCAGCGGAGAGCGGAGGGAGAGGGGGGAGCAGTCGCTCTTCTGGCTGCTCGCTCTCGGCAGGACGTCGGTCGAGGCCGCCTGATTCCGAAGTACCCGTGGGAGAGTTTGCTCTTTCCGGTTTCGGAGTGGATGGGCGTGAGCCCTTCAGACCACCCCACTATCTTTCCAAATCTCCCGAATTTCAACTCCTCGTACATCTTAGCAACCAGCACGCTTTTCGACTGACGTGGGACGCAGAACTGCGTACAAGCCGTCGGTGAAGGTTTAGCGTTTTCTTCTCGCCAAAGCATCCCCTTCAAAAGGGAGTGTGGAGAATACCAGGTCGCACCAGGCCAAAACGAATCCTCACAATACGCTCAGTAGAAGGTTTCTAGAAGCGGAGCAAGCCTTGTGCACCTTGTCAGTGACTTCCCTTCCAAGCCGAGGCCAGTTCACGAGGTCTTCGATTTCGATTTCACCGAGCAGGAAGTGAAGATGTCCCGGGCTGAGCCAACACGCAGGCAGCCGCTTTTAAGCATTTTGTCGGGCTCATCATGCCCCCCTCAAGGAGTGGTCAGACGGATCTGACTTTCGTCGCGAAGGAAGATGGCGTCATTGCCTAAGATTCATCCAGCGAAAGGAGGTGGGCTGGTGCTTTGTCCAGGTGCTAAACTGCATAGTCTTTTGGTACAAAATGCCGCGGGCCTGGTGAACACCAGGCTTTCTGGACAACTGAAAGCGCTGTGCTTCAGGGCGCTGACGTCCGACGTCTCCTTGGATCACACTCCCGAGCAGCTGAGGCTAGATCCTTAGGACGTTCAGCTGCGGAAAGCCTTACCGTAAGCAGGGAGAGTGCAGCCGTCCACGGCGCTGGCTGCTCAGAGGGCACGTGCCAGAGCAGTGAAGCTCAGCGTCGCTTCGGCAAGGACTACAATCGGCACGCATTCCAATGGTTGCCGACGCCTCTTCAGGCCGTGTGCACTCTGCGTACTGGCATCTTTGGGGCTTGCGAAGTTGCAGGTTTCCAAGGGCGACGAAATCGAGATCCGTCCGCATCCTCAGAGGGGGGGCCCCTTGAGTCTTGCCCTCGAGAGACTGGACCAGAGAGGAGCCTCCTACAGCCGCTCCCGCATTCGCTTCGAGCTGAAGGAGGAGGCTCTGAGAGCACAGCGAAGGCTGATGATGTTGGTTGCAACTCCCGTGTAGCCAGGGCAATCCGGGCAATCCAACTCTGAAGCTATACTCGGAAGTCTCCTCCTCCGAACAGCTAGGCTAAAACGTAGGCATTGTGGCAGTCAATTCAAAAAGGGCATGGTGGTGCGAGACGAAAATTGTCTGGACAAAAAAGGCAGGGAATTATGCGCAAACTTTGCGCGGGCAACGGTGTCGGTGTGTGGATCTCCAAAACGGCCACGTTTGCAAATTCCTCGCAGTCTTGAAGCTCTCTTTTACGGTCTTTGCGGATCTCTCAGCCGTGGTGCCGGGAGAGCCAATAGACAAACCTTGCATATGAATTTTGAGTGGGTCTGTGTTCATCTCATCAAGGAAGCGGCGCTTGTCGATCTTGTCGAGACTGCTTCAGATCCGCAGGAGCTTTGATCACTCCGACCAGTAGGTCAATCGTCGCAGACAAGCGACAGGTAGAATGTTGGCATCAACCTGGGGGATTGCCTTTGGTGCGCGTAGTGATGCAGTGTGACAAGCACGTCGATAAGATGCCATTGCATCTGCTGCAGATCCCCAAGAAGCTCAAGGGGGTTGGATGCTCCGGCCTCGATAGAGTGTGAAGCCTCGAGCAACTCAGCAACTCGCTTTGGCCATGGGTCAGGTCCGCGCTGGCTTTTCCTTCGGCTTTGGGACGAACAGCGCCGCAAGCTCTGTCCAGCGCTGGCGCTGGCCATGCAGTTGCAGGGTAGTTCTTTCTCGGCCGAGGTCTCGAGGCCTTCCGAAAAGCCATCGAGAAGGCACTCGAGAAAATCATGGAGGCCCGGCCAGGCATTGCAGGCGTATGGTATGCAACGCTCACACTTCAGGCTCGAGACGCTATGCCAAAACTGGACCGGCCGCCGCTCCGCATTGTGCACATGGGGGCAGGCATCGACGCACCGAGATGCAGCAATACAGCAAGAGAAAGACAGATAGCACCGGGGGAGTCTGCTTGTCTCAAGCTGTGGCAGAGAAGAGGAAGAAGAAGACTGATAAGAAAATTACGAAACAGAAAGAAAGAGAAGAAACTACCAATGATATGAAGAAGTAGCATGAAGCAGCGTGAGGGGATGTCTGGGCGCACTCATGCAGGTGTGAAAGTGCGGTAGGTAGCCTGACCTGTTGACATGTGCGTGCTGGATGCAGTGCCGGTTTGAGTTTGTTTTCAGTTGCGAATCAACCACCGTTTCCGCAGCGAGCGGCTCTTGGTGATGCAGCAAAAGGGTGGCCCGTGCAGGGTTGCTGAAGCATGCAGGCGACGCTTTGAAGCACAGCTTTCGCATTGGTAGCGGAGCAGGGAAATAGCAGCTATGTCAGGCAGTGCAGCACCGCCTCATCAGGGGGTGGATGGCAGTGGCGGCGATGGGAGCCTCAATGATGGGGCGCCACATGACGGCGGTTGGCAAGGCAGTCAACATTGGGCATCTTGGGATGCTCGAGCGGCGACAAGTCAGTCTGGGTCGGCAGGCTATCAGTGGAACAGCGGTACGTGGGGAAATGGATGGTGGCCAGGCCAATGGGAGAGACCGTTTACGAGTAACTGGGATGATAGTTACTACGGTAGGCAGTCCAGCTGGTCAGGTTATCAGTGGAATAGCAATGATGCCGCCTATCGGGCGGGGTGGAATGCCGGCGCAGATCCACCAGCGGAAGCAGGCGGGCGGAGGGCCTCTGTACAGTCCACAACGGTTACTGAGGAGTTTTCCGCAGAAGTTTCAGAAGATGTGAAGGATTCCAGTGATGCGGGTAGTCAGGCTAAGAGCACTCCGAAGACGGGGAAGGACTATGTTCCCGAGTATGATGGCAAGACTCCTATGAGAGATTATGAACGTCGGGTTCGTCTCTTCGAAAGTGCCACTGGGATAGATCCGAGTTATCGTGCGCAAAAGCTGATGGAGAGGCTGACGGGATCGGCTTGGACGGCGACCGAAAGCATCGATCTCCAGGAGCTGAAGCACGAAGACGGAGTGAAGCGCCTGATCAATCATCTTTATCAGGAGCTGGAGCCCCTCGAACATTTGAGAGTGTTCTCTACCCTCACGGAGTTCTACCGCGGCTTCAAGAGGACTGCGGGTCAGGAGTTTATCACGTATGACATGGAGTTTCGCACCCACCTGAAGCGCTTGGAGGAGATCGGGGCCAAGATCGATGGGTTGAACAAGGCGTACTGGTTCTTGGAGAAGGCAAGCTTGTCAGATGAGTTGCGGAAGCAAGTGATTTCGGCTGCCGGCGGTGAGTATGACTACAACCGCCTGAGGAAAGCCTTGATGGCCATCGTTCCGAAGGTGAAGAGGGACGAAGATTCATCGGCGAGTACGGCCAGGACTCCGTTTAGACAGTGGAAAGCCAAAGGTGGGACGCGGCAAGTGAATGCTACGACTGAGGATGATCGCGATCAAGAAGATGAAGAAGGAGAAGATCCAGAAGAGGCTCGTCCCGAGGACCTTGAAGGGGAACTGGAGGTTCTGCTCACGCAGGCTGCTCGCAAGCGTGCCGAAGTGGAGAAAGCGAGAGGCTTCTCGCGTGGTGAGACGAGCCAGGCACGTGAAGCAAGGATCAGAGACATGAAAGCCAAAATGCCGTGCAGCGCGTGCAAGGCGCACGGCAAAACAGTATTCGGCCATTGGCATAGCGATGCCGAATGCCCCTACCGCTCAGGCGGAAAGGACTCATCACGAGAGAAGAGCGTGCTCGCCGTGATCACGGATGAGCTTAGCGATTCTGATGAGGAGCTGGAGCTGGCCGATGTGTACATTGCCACGACCGAGGATGACTCCGGTGCTCATCTTGATGATCCTCAGGAGGTTTGCACTAGCATTGTCATGCAGACGGGTTACGAACCTGACCGGGATAATCTCGCCTTGAGTGATACATGTTGCGCCAGGACGGTGGCCGGGGTTCGTTGGATGGAACGTCATCTGAAGATCCTGCGGCGCCATGGCGAGGACATCCACTTCGTCAACGAGGCAAGGCCATTCCGGTTCGGGGGCGGACCGAGGATTATGTCATCACATGCCGTGGTGATGCCCCTCCAATTGGTCGGGGCGTCGAAGACCGCGAGAGTGAGGGTGAGTGTCGTCGACCAGGAAGTCCCGTTGCTACTGAGCAAGTCCACCCTCAAGGCATTGGGCATGGTCATGGACTTGGAAAAGGGTAAGATCTTGTTCCGGGAGATGCAAGCCGAAGTCCCACTCAGGGAGACGCAAGCTGGTTTGTGCGGGTTCCAGATCAACACAAGGCCCTCCAGGACCAGGTGCGACTCACCACCTTATCAGTTGTTAGAAGAAGACAACGAGATCATCATAGGCGACGCCGTTGATGAACAGGTGTGCATGGCGGACGGCAAAGGGGACGAGATCCGCCCTCACGACAAGGTTCGAGCAACACGTGAGAACATTCAACGGTGTGAGGATGAAGCACGCAACCTTTATCGTGCCCGAGATTTCTCCTATGAAGCCATAACCAGACTGGTCAGGTTGCTCCCGTTCAACAACTCCAAGCGGCACCGCGCTATCAACGGAGGAACAGGCACGGGATACGAAGCGTGGGTTGCGGGAGTTTACAGTCACGGTGCATGGACTGGAGTGACTAAGAGAACTGTGCGATATCCGAATGTTGTCCGGTATGTGAACATGTTCATGCAACATCATGCGGACGGAGAGTGGTCATCATTCACTTTGATGAAGAACGTCCCCACTCAAGTACATGTGGATCGACACAACGACAAACAGGCCCTCGCCACTACGGTCACCTTCGGTGACTTCGAAGGAGGCCAGCTGTGGGTTGCGGATGATGGGGTCAAGGAAGCCGAGTGTGTTTGGAAGCAGGACAGTCGGGGTGAATGGATGCGTGGACGTCTTCATGACACATGCCGCCGACCTTTTCGGTTTGATCCTCACATTCCACATGCTACGCACAGTTGGAAGGGCGAGAGATGGTGTTTGTCATGCTACTCAGTGAGAACGGCGGCCCAGGTCAATGACCAAATGAAGCAAGCAATGAAGAAGCTGAAGTTTCCTCTACGGAGGAGACAGAAGACC